ATTAGAAAGATTTCAAAACCCATCGATTTATGACAGCTGTAAATATAAGTCAGTCAGGCAGGGCTACATATATTTGCAGCACAATGTACAGGGTATATAACAACATTAATATGACAGGTAAAATAAAAAAACAGACATTAAGACGTATAGCCAATTCATTATGAAGGCGGACTATGCCTGCATATACAAATAAACATATTACTTTATTATTATATATATATATATATATATTTTTGAATACCCTTGTAGAGAATATTTTTGAGATAGAATACTTTGGTAAAATTCAGCATGGGCCCACAATTCTATCAGCATAAAGGGTATATCACCTTCGTTGCGACGAAAATAGTCGTTCTTTCGTGTTTTATATATGTGCTACTCGATTGGCTTTGCATTTTATGGCGCTATTGTGTCTAGCCGAAAAAAAAGAAATTGTATTTGTATGCGTGACAGCGTTCGGCTGGGCTAAATAGTTATACAATTTTGCGTAGTAGTTAGCTTAAAAGTTCCGCATTTAAAATTGAATCTAAAGCCATTAAATTATTTGGCAGTTCAATTGAGAAAATAAAACAACAGCGTCAATATCAATTTAGACAAAAGACAACAACAAAATGAACTGCGATCGTTTGCTTGATTTAGTCTTTCGTTCAGTTTTAGTGTAATTATGCAGTTTATCAGTTTTTGAGTAATTAGGTACGTCAGTAAGTCAAACAGTCAGTCTGTCAGTCATCCAGTCAGTTAGTCAGTTAGTCAGTTAGTCAGTTGTCTGTCTGTCTGTTGACTTTGAACTTGAATGTGGCTGTGTGTTCATTAAGCTAAATTTCTGTCGCGTCGTCCGAGCTGTCTTTAAAAAAGAAAAACAAATATGTAACCGTTCAATGGGCCGTATACGCGATGTGTAATGTGTGCGAAAGAGTGCGTAATTTGATTTTTACTGCAATTCGCAGAAATGGCAACAAAAACGTAAAGAAAAGAAAATACAAAAAACAATAACAATAACATAAATGTGCTTAAATCAGTACACAACATTTTACTGTATGTTCTGTTTTTTTTTTTTTTATAAATATTTTCCAGTATAGGCGATAAGCTGTTATAAAAAGCGCAAATAGAAAGAAAAAAATAAAAATACCATTGCAATGACAAGTATTTCCGAGCATTGTGAATAACCCGGAATGGCCAATTGTCCCGTGGCCAGGGCTGTCACTTCAATGTTGCCAAATTCAATTTGATAAGAAATTTAATAGATTTCAGCATTAAGCAAGCCGATAAACGCACTTAAAGTCTTACTAATTGAAATATTATCGCGCTCAAGTGCCGAACACACAGACACACACACATACAAATACACAACGTTGCCTTTTTTGTAGTATTATTAATCAAATGCTCAAACGAATTCTGCACTTTGGTTTTAACAAATTGCAAGGCTTCAGTATACTGGCCCAGTTTATTTTCTTTTTCGGGTTAGATCTTGCGTACAGCATCCCACGTTAATTATGCATAAAAAGTGATTTATTATTTTATATATTAATCACAATATATTGATTAATTAATTCATAAGCTGAAATAGTTTTAAGCCGCTGTTAATTACACATGTTTGTGTCTACCATTCAAAAGTGTCTACTAATGCATCTCGTTTGCTTAGCGAGCAAGGGAGTGGAGAGGGGGGGGGGTGGGGGGGGGGTGCACAACACCCTTGTAATTTTCCCACTTCAGTATCAAGCAACTTTTAGTTCTTCCCCCAAACATATTAGTTAACAATACAAACTCAGTACATAAATCTTTTTGTTTAAATAAAAAAAGAAATTGCACGTGTCAGCATTTTTCAGTGAATTTTTGCCATAGATTTCAACATTTACCATAAACAAAGCAAATTGAAAAAATAAAATGCTTTACACTGATTAGATTATGTTTCTTTTCGGAACTTGTGTTTTCACCTGTTTTCCTTCTTTCTGACACACATGCGTAGTCATTGTCAGTTAGCAATTATTATTTATTATTGAAGTGTTTTTTTCTTTTAATATATTGATAGAAATCTCACAGGTCTCAATGTCTGTCGTGTTGAATTTGTTTGCTTTCTGTTAAACATTATTGATGGGCTTTAAAATATTAAGTATAATAAATATATACATTTAATTTAATAAATTAAGCTATATATTTTCTACATGAGAAGCTGCATATTATACTGAGAATTTGATTTGCTCATAACTTATTCGGCAATATAACAACCCCATTTCGCAAAACCTATTAGAATTGCATTTTGTATACAATTATATTTTACTAACCAACAACTTTTTGTTAAACTTGAGCAATTATTCTTTAACTCTTCCAATTAGTTTCTTGCCTCTGGCTTATCGTATGATATATAAGTTTAAGATCCAAAATTGTGGTCGAATTTGTATCCAATTTGGATTTATTGTATTTTAAAGATATTTTAATTTAGTATACCTATCCCAATCCGCTCTACACTCCAATCTTCATCATCTGTTGATAGCGATATATATATATATATATATACATATATGTATATATATCACGAGACGGACTTTCGGATTGTCTTGATAAGTGTGTGCTTTGTTGTCGCAACAGCGATCGCTGGGATTCCAAATCTAATCGCATAAACTGTCAAATGTCCATAAACTTGAAAACGCGACACGCTTCAAAGAGTGGCCAACAGTCGGTTGTGCGTTAAATATCGGATTAGTTGGCTGTTTGCTTGGCAACTGGCTGGTTGTTTGTTGTTAGCTGCTTGCTGCAGCTGCAAGTTTTTCACTTTAACACACATTCGGATGGCCAAAACTGGTTGCTTTTCAATGCGGCTGCTTAAATGTTTTCATTAATGCAAATGCGAAATGTGTGGGCTGCTAAACACGCTTCGATAAAAAACAGGTCCCTAACTTCCCAACAGTCGGCGAATTTTGGAAACAAAAACGAAATATTTATATACATATATATATATACCAGCTGTTATTTCCCGGCCTTTGCTTCAAATATTAAACATCCACCCATTTTGGTTTGTAGAAAATAAAAATCTTCAGGTATATCATAACCTCCAAGTCTAAAGTTATATTTTACATATAAATTTATATGAAAATGTGTTCGAAGTGCCTTGAATATAGAACTAAGAATTGAAATAAACGTGTTCCGCTCACTTTAGTCTTGTAAGAATATTGCTGCTATAAAAACAACATTCGTTTAAACATCCTTTGACCCTAATTTTCTAGCCAATACAAATTAATACAAATTGATTCGCAACCCAAGTGGCGAAGTTATTTCGATGGTCAACGGCAGAGCTATGGAAACGATATAATTCCGCGCAGAGATATGTTGTTTGGAATAATATATCATTTTGGACTCGTAAGGATCAGTACTATCGATTGGCATCAAAAAAATTAAAATCTAAATTTTGACCAAAATCAACAAAATGGCAAGGGGTTACATCACGTTTTTTCTCAAAAAACGGGGTCGGTTCGAAAATCAAAAGTTTTAGGATGTTTTTTTTTGAATATCTTTGGTAAATAACGTCCGATTTTGAAATATTATACCTTTTGGAGTTCGTACGGATCCCTACTATCAATTGTCATTCAAACAAATTAAAAATCGATGGGTTAAAAAAGCTGTGGACCAAAAAACGATTCGTTTGTAAAGAAAACCTTTCTTGATGATTTTTTGGACTATCTCGGCCAAATAATGTCCGATTTTGGAATTTTGTACCATTTTGGACTCGTAAGGAACAAGACCATCGATTGGCATCAAAAACAAAAAATCTAAATGTTGACAAAAATCAACAAAATGGCAAGGGGTTACATCACGTTTTTTCTCAAAAAAGGGTTCGGTTCGAAAATCAAACGTTTTTTGATGATTTTTTTTGAATATCTCTGGTAAATAACGGCCGATTTTGAAATATTATACCTTTTCGAGTTCGTACGGATCCCTACCACCAATTGGTATTCAAACAAATTAAAAATCGGTGGGTTAAAATAAGCTGTGGACCAAAAAACGATTTGTTTGTAAAGTCAACCTTTCTTGATGGTTTTTTGGAATATCTCGACCAAATAATGTCCGATTTTGGAACTTCATACGGTTTTGGACTCTTTAGGATCAAAATGAAAATGAAAATCTAAATTTTGAGCAAATTTGAGTTGCCTAAGATAAATATATCCACATGTTCGTCTTTTGCGGCTTTTGATCAGTTTTGCTCAGCATGCATATACAAAACGATGCCAGGACTTGGCTGATTCCATGCCAAGACGCTGTGCAGCTGTTATTGCCAATATAGGACACAGTTCTAAATATTAAATGATGAATATAGATTTAGTATTGATAGTTCAAAATTGTTAGCTAATGAATTCGTTACTTATCGTTATTTTTTTAATTTTAAACCCATATTTGAAAAGTGGTGCTATTATTTTGTTCGCCCAATTTGATCAATGTCAGTAAAGTTCCTTAAATAACTTAAAAACGTTATGAATAAGGATGATTCATTTTTTACTCCCAGATTTGTAAGAGTCGTCCCTTTCTTAAAATGTGCTTAACGTTTCCTTAACGTTAAAAATGTGAGTTGGGCGACTATTTAAAAATTGCTTCTAGTGGTGGTGCTATTATTTTTTTCACAGCTGTACATATATGTTGAGTTCGGAAATGTCTTCTATGTTGCATTAAATATTTATTAACAATGTATAACACTCATATAAAAATAGACTGTTATTAATTCAGGTTTTTTTAAAGATCCAAAAGTTGATGCCATACGAGTTTGTTGTTTGTGCGGAAGTGCAAGATGTTTGGGCATGTCAAAAACTAAAGTATAAAAGTATTGCCGTAATGAATATAATTTTTAACTTTATTTTTGTGTTTTTTTATTATTACCTTGTGTTGTGCGAAATATTCATTGATTTCCGAAACTGTCGTATATTTTTCTTTATAATATTTTCTACAACTTACAAATTCATTGAAACAAATACTACAACGAGAACAACAATATATGAACGTTATATTGTTGCTTGCAGCCATATCAACGGTCCGGTGACTAAAGCTCTGTCCTTTTAGTCCTTCAAATATTTAATATCCGCCAACCCACACCCGCCTCGAAGAACAGGACGCACAATAACGAACTGGACACAGCACACAGGACGCCTTACCCTACACACACCACACACACACACCCAACGCACACACAACATACTCGCAACACACACACACACACGCAAGACAAACCCAACACACACTCATATACAATGTAAACCAAAGGGCTTTGGTTTTTTCAATAACATTTTTATTCAATTTATATTCCTTAAACATTTTCCAAAAAAAAAATCCATAATCAAATAGACTCGCGCCTTCATTAATAACTTATTAATTTATTTATTTAACCTTTGTTAAGGAAGTCAATAAAAATTGTGTGATATTTTCCATTTTGTTTAGTGATAGTTCCAATCGAGAACCTTTTGCACAATGCAAATATGCCAAATCGTTGAAGCAGCATAAAGTAAAAAAAAAAAAAAAAACAGAAAATCCCCAATACATATATACGCATAAATATATATAATTGCACCCCAATTAGTTGCAAGTATTCTTGTTTTTTCTTGTTTAGTTTGAATTCTAGTTAACTAAATGAATTTCCATTGTGCAACTGAGAATACTCACAAAAACAACAACAATCAAATAAATACAGCTGCATTTTTGGCTTTGACTTGAGCTGTTGCTGCGCACGCTTTAGGCCCAGCTAGAAACAAGTAACAAAACAATAACACACACACACCCAAACTAACACTAACACACACTAGCGATCAATGCAAAAATGTCGCAACCGAACGAACATGAGACAACACACATGCAACACAATCAAAATACAGACCATAGCACAGACAACAACCAGCACACCGCATTCCCCACACCACCCAGCCCAACCATACCAAATGAGCTGAAGCAGAGACAGAAACCTGCGCTCTCACCGTTGAATGTGCGACGACTTTCCACATATGCCGCCCACAATGATGCCGCCGAATTTGGGGCTGATGATGGTGTCGCGCCGCCGCCATTGTCCACAACCATCGATATCAATACGAATAACAACAATTACCCTAACACCAACAACAACCACAACAACAACAACAACAGCAATAACAACAGCTACAATAATAACAATAACACATCATCAACGTCCTCACCATATGCCACGCCACCAATATACCAACAACAATTGTCAACAATGACCAACACAACACCGCTAGATGCGGCCTTGGATGATAAATACAAGTTATTTACCATCTACAATGGAAACGGTGAGTGACGACGACAAATCAGTTGGCAGCAGCAAACAGCAGCAGCAGCAGCATCGTCATCATCATCATCATCATCATCATCATCATCATCATTATCATCATTATCATTGCTATATGTAGGCAATATAGATCAGTTACCGATAACGATAACGATTACGATAGCGATAACTATGCTGCTGCGTCAAGTGTGCTGGGTTTGCCCCGATTGCCCCGTTTCTCTCTTTCTTCTCCCCGCCATTTTGGAGCTCTTCCGCTCTATTTTTTTATAAATATATTTTCTACTTGCCTCTCTTTTTTGTCTTTAACTCTTTTTCATCTATTTAAAGCATTTTATACTATAATTGTTTAGTTTATATAGTTATTATCATATGCATACATAGCTACATCGTCCGACTATCTAGCATATCGAGTTATAAGTATTTCTTACTGGTATCTAAATTAGAACTTGGTAATTAGCAGTTCGTAGAATTTTAGTTATCAGGCAAATTTGACTTAGGTTTAGGCTAGATTAGACGGACAAACTAACCCCATAGTACTCGCACATAAACTATAGATTGGTGCTCTATTTTACCCATCACTCCCGTTCCTTGAAATTTTAAGAAATACTGTAGGATTCGTGTATTTATGAGGGGTGTGTCGCACCTCTGAAGCGAGCCAGTTAGTTGAATATTAATATAATGGATAGATAACATTTGTTATTCTCTAAACATTTTTTAATAGTTTTTAAAACTAACAGCCTGTTATGTTTATATGCACTATTTTATCTAGTCCCTTAAATACTTTCTCTCGATTTTCAAAAATCAAATATGTGCATTTATTTAGCATTCCTTAAGCTTAAATTTGCTTAAAATTTCAATAAAATACAAAACTTAAGTTCTAAGAAAAACATATTTGATAAATAGGTGAAAATTAAAACTTAATTTGTTTTTGTTTTAATCTTAAAGCCCAAGTTGAAATTGTTTCTTATATATTTTCTTTATTTTGTATTTTAAATAAATAAAAAAAGGAAGAATCATAAAAGAAGAATAATAGTTCAGAAGTCATGTCAGCTCGAAGCAGCGTCAATCTTATTGTATTCATGGCTTAAGTCTTATAGGATTTTTTACACTATATGACCACAAATACAGCTGAGTAGATATTATGAATACTCTGTAAGGGCATTAAGAGCTTCGGTCTTACCGATCTTACATTTTCTGCAATCTATTGCAATTCTTATGCACAATTTCTTTCAAAATGTTTAAACTAATCTCGCATCATAATAGACACACACACACACACATACATACAATTACACAATTATCATAGAGCAAAGCAACAATTACACTAACCAACATTGTATGATAACTCGATGTATTTTAATAGATTATTCAAAAGAGCATCAATTAAAATTCTGCGCCAGAGATTTTTTCATTTTATTTATTTGGTTTTATTATATTGTCTTATTTTACAATCGCACAATCGCAATTCGTATGCATGTTTATAATAGACGATAAACACATAAAATCTTTAATTATTATTGCATGCTATTCGTTGCTGTAGTTGTTTGTTTGTTTTGTTGTCTGCGCTTTTATGGACGAACGATTTGTAATTTATTAACTTTGCGCAAACAAAAAAAAAAACACGAAAAAAAAAAGCAACAACAATTGTTCTATTCATTTGGCAGCTAAAAACTCGTTTAACCCGGCGACAAAAAAAAAACAAAAACAACAAAGGGGTTTTTAAACAAATTTTTAGGGGATAGGGTATAGGGTAGCGCTTATAAGTAATGCTCGTCTTTTATTGTAATGATAATTAATTGCCTTGCTAATTGCACAACGCTCTTGACTTTAGTTGCATGCCACAGCTCTACACACACGCCCACACACACACAGATACACAGTTAGAAACTGTAGCCAGATATCCCCTGACTAAATGCATTTTTTCTCTTCCCATTTCTGTTTCTCCCACCCACATATTGCACAGACCCCGACAATGAGAAGTTGTCCGGCCTTCCACATTCGACAACTGGTTCACTAAGCTCAATCATCACGACGTCCATAGCATCCTCCGAACCGGATCCAGGTGCGGCGGGTGGCGGCGGTGGAGGTGGAGGTGGAGGCGGAGGCGGACATGGCGGCTTAGGCGCCCTGGCAGCGGATGCATCCAGCATTGCGGGCATCAACGGCAGCTCCGAGGAGAAGTTGGCACTGAATCGACCCGGCATCAAACAAGAGAAATGGCAAACCATATTGCTGCAGGTGTCCATACCGTTTTTCCTGGCCGGCATTGGCACTATCGGAGCGGGCATTGTGCTTGGACGCGTCGAGGTAAATATGTTGATAATTCTATTAAATCGACGCATTATCTAAATGTGCCGTGCTTCGGCACGGAGTGTCACGGCTTGGGTAATGGCTTGTAAGTTCGGTTCGTTGATTAGCTAATGGAAATCCCCCTCTGCCCCTTTAACTCTCTCTCTCTCTCTCTCTCTCTCTGTCTCTCTCTCACTCACTCTTAGTGAACTGATTAATCTCATAAATTGCCCCATTGACATTGCGCAAGTGCCGTGATGTAGATAAAAGAGGTGCGGACAATTAAAATGACACGCAAATTAAATTGTAAAATCTAATGACTGTTTCTCCGCCGGCTCATTAAAATTACACATAACAAAGCAACAATCCGAATCAGACACAAAATAAACAAATTTGTTTTCGTTACCATCCCCAAGCCTGAGAAAATTTGACAAAAGAAACACAGACACGCCACCAGCTGCACTGCAGCATGTTTCTAAATCAACAACTAATTAAATTAATTTTCAGCACTTGCAAACAATTTTACTTACAATTCACTTACATTTAACTCTGCAATCCCTGACAATGCTCGATCTTTATGATGATTCCCAATTGTCCTCAATTACTCGCAAAATCATCATCTGCGCAGGAGGAGGTCGTTTAATTGACTCCAAATAGAAATAAATGAATAAAGATACGATTTTTTAAGAATCTTTGAATGTGCCATAGACTGTTCTTATAGATTTTATATATTTTAATTAAATAGTAGTCTCAGACAATATCCAAACCAGATTTAGTTTCTTGGTTTTTCTACAAAGTTAAAGTCAGCAAAAATTACACTGCAAAGTCTTGATCTCAGTTGATAATCAAAAAGTCTAGAAGGCATTTTTCGCCTTGTTAACATCTTTTTTTAAACAATTTTCTTGCGAATTGCATAATAGAGTTTTCATAAAACGTCTCTAAAAACAATGCAAAAGTTTCATGATTTAGACAGATCAATAACACCTTACAGGTACATAAGCTCTCTGGGGAAGACAATAAATCAGCTTAAATCCGATCCCAATAAATAAATACATATATATACATTTCTTTATAAAGTTCGACATGAATAGCTGATGAATATGCATACATATAAGAGCGAATCAAAAAAAAAAAAAAAACGTTCAGCACTCAATAAATATTTATTTGGCCGCTAATTAGTCTCAAAATTCTGGTATAAACTTACCGCTGGTCCAGTTACAGGCGGCATATACCCAACTCGAGCTCCCAACAAAATATGCTTAAAGACGAACCGAACCGATACAAAAAAAAAAAAAAAACAATATCTATAGCATGTGTATATGTTGTACATATAACCTAGGACAGCATTGCCTGATTTGATAATGACGTCATTATCAGATTTATAATCGCTATTTATGTGTAGCCATAAATCGCGGCCAATGCATTATATTTATGATGGCTACTTTATATTAGGCAACCAACTAATTTATATGGTGCTTTGTGATCGCAGAAATGGTACGTCTTCAAGAATGTTAGCGAGCTGTTCATACTGGTGCCGGCGCTGCTTGGCCTAAAGGGTAATCTGGACATGTGCCTCGCCTCTCGGCTCTCCACGCAGGTCAATTTGGGCAATATGACAGCGCGTTCGAATGTGATACGGATGATTGTCGGGAACATCGCCTTGGTGCAGGTGCAGGCAACAGTTGCCTCCTTTCTGGTTGCCATGTTTGCCACAAGTGTGGGCGCAGCCATGACCGGTAACTTTTACTTTGAGAATGTGATGCTGTTGACCGCATCGGCCATGTTTACGGCGACCTCGTCGTGTTTTGTCCTGGGTAAGATTTACATGCTAAGTCCAATATTTGCCTTCTTTAACATATATCTATTTCAATGACATTGCAGATTTTGTGCTGGTGGCTGTGATTTTATTCTCCCAAAAGTATCGCCTAAATCCGGACAACCTGGCCACGCCGCTGGCTGCCTCCATTGGTGATGTTGTCTCGATCAGTTTGCTGTCTTTCATTGCCTCGCTACTCTATGAGAATATAAGTATGTTGCCCCCCCACTCCGTTTTATAAATCTAAAGCACTTGCTCTAACGTCTTCTGTCCGCTGCAGAGACCCATCTGTGGATCACTTTCGTTGTGGTTACCTGCTATCTGATACTGCTGCCCATGTGGGTCGTCATTGTGCTGAAGAATGAGTATACGCGGCCGGTGTTAAAGAGCGGTTGGGTTCCAGTGCTATCGGCGCTCTGCATCAGCGGGTAAGATCTATCTACATTTCTACCTATCATCCTCTCACTCGCGCTCAGTCTGTTGTGAAGTGCACTTGGTGCTTGGGGCTTGGTGCTTGCCGCCTGAATTGGGCCATGATAAGCACAATTTGAGCTTCTACATCTATACTTTATAATTTGTGCCATTTCATGTTCAGCATGCGGCATTAGGTATGCTAAATTTGGCAACACTTTTTGATTGATAGGTTTATTTAATATTTTATTTGTTTCTCATTATTTATAAGGCTGCAAATCGCCAGCTTAGCCAATGGCCATTGTTTTTTGTTGTCCTTGACTCGCAGCGTGGCGGTCAGCGCGGCCCAGTTTTGGCCAAACTTGGTTTATTTATAGACAGCACGGGTATTAATATACCCATGTTTTATAAGCATATATTAAAAACGATTTTATAAATTATCAGGCATTTAATGCTTAGTTTTAATAAGTTTAATGACTTGTATGCTACTTGAGGTTGTCTAGACGGTTTCAAACTTGAGATAAAAGACATGCCAAGTCACCTTTTAATAGTGATATGCTCCTTGGAATTCGGGCTGAGATTGTTGCATGCTTGGGAAAGACCACAACTTCAATTTAATCAGTAATTGACAGCTCTGCGGGAACGTAATACATTATTATATATATATATATAGCTTATATCTATAATGTGCATAGTTCTATTCAGATTCTTAGCAGGGAATTGAACAGATCTTAAATGCTTACGAAGAGATTTAATATAATTATAAACCGTTGTATATAGACTTTCTTTTTTACATTTTGCAGGCTCGGTGGTCTCGTACTGGATGCCGCTGTGGAGGTCTTCACTGGTTTTGTGGTCTTCCAGCCGATTATTAACGGCATTGGCGGCAATCTGGTGTCAGTGCAGGCCAGCAAAATATCCACAATGCTGCATCAAAGCTCAATATTTGGCATTATACCACCGCACACAAAGATCGTCGAGTGGCCGTGGCGAGCACTCTTCAAGGGTGGTAAGTTGGGCAGCACATAACTCTATATAACTATGTTTGCTATATTATAATTATTAAATTTTACGCACAGTGCCCTATGCTAAGACGGCACGTATTCTCATCGCCATGTCCATACCCGGCAATGTATTGTTCATCTTTGCGGCCGATTATATTAACATGAGCACGACTACCGTAACGTGGGTATTTATGTTATCCTATTTGATCGCCAGTTTGCTACAGGTAAGTTTGAGTAGTCTCCTTCAAAAGAGCTTAACTAACATATTTTCATATATTGCCAACAGGTAATGATGCTGCTCTACATTGCGCACATCATTGTGCACGCCATGTGGAAGTGGAAGATCGATCCGGACAATTCGGCTATACCATATCTGACAGCGCTTGGTGATCTACTGGGTAGCAGCTTGCTGGCTGTCGCCTGGCTCTTTACGATGTCGGTGAACAAACAATACGGCTCCAATTTGGACACACTGAATGCGCCCAACTAGCGACAAAGCCAACATACATAATATAGCTGTGGGGCCGCATCGTTTTCGATGGCGCCCAGTTTCTTAGTTAGCACGCAATAGGATAATGCAAATTGAGAACGATATGAAATTGCAGATGCAGCAACATAATACAAAGAACTGTAATGTACCTAAATTCTAACATAGAAACTGAACGTATATACATGTAATCATACACAAAGATAAACACCAAAACCACACACATAATACAACACAAAAAAAAAAAAAAAAGCAACACTCGACTACATCAAACCCAAAACAAATAGACAAAAGACCTATGCAAATATTTTTTAAATATTTCGAATGTTGAGAATGATTCCCCTTTTTTTGTAGCTTTCACATGGCTTTTGCTTGTGTTCCTTTGCTCTACTAAGATATTATGTACCGAGTATATTGTAAATTTTGAAGGTCTGGCCTGTGTTGGCTTGCGTAATATTTTTTAAGGCTTTTAGGACAATATTATACATATATAAATAAGCTTCTCCGAAACGAGAGCAGCAAAGTTCATACAATAGTGTAAAACTTCAAACCAAACAATATAGGAATTTTCATTTTTGTTGTTTGTGTTGTGATGGTGCGCAGTTTTCTTTAAGCATCTAAACTATATAAATTATACACTAAAATAGTCTTAAATATGGCCTACTTAATTTTTATATAATACAATTTATAGTATTAGCGCAGATTTGATTTTTGCAAGTCTCGCTTTGTTGTTTTAAACATGTTTTTTTTTCCCCTAATATAAGAGACAATTTTTTTTTTTGCTATGCGCACCTCCCAAAAACTACAATAAAACCATATTATTATTTATTGCCCCTGTTAAAAAGCATAGGTGTACATTATTTTTTTTTATAATTGTAAAAAATATTTTAAGTTTAACACATTTGTGTACTTGTATGTATTGAAAATTAAGAATGTAAAATTATAATGTATCTAATTATTATATTGTTTGTGCGTTATGTGAAGCGAACAGGGAAAGATGAGACGTTCTGAAAGGAAATGTGATCGATATTAAATTAAAATAATAATTATAAATTAATGTAATACATAAAATTAGCATGATTGTTGTCCAACGAACGAAACAATAATTAAAATTATTTAATATGTTGGAATAAACGAAAGAAAGTCATAGTCATAAAGTGCATTTTATTTTATTATGATCCCAAAAATTGAACAGGGCGCGCCATTTTTAGAGAGTATCGGTTTTTGTACACCCTAATTTGCGATTTGCTGCAGCCCTGAAGATCGATGCTCCGCCGCAGAGTTGATATCGATATATCGATAATGTGCAGTGATGGGCAAGCCATTGTCGCATCGATGCCAAATTTTAAAGCAACTGACGCGCTAAACAGAAAAGTAATTTCGAGCTAGTTTTTTGTTTGGATGTATTTTCTCCAATTGCATTCTGTGTGTGCTTATAGTGTTAGTAGAATATGTATCGCCCACGACGGACCTCAGAGTTTCATGATGACGCCCGGGATGATAGCAACGTCCTTAACAAGCGGCAAACAAGGCAAGTTGATCTGGTATATAAAAAAGGAGATTAAATTGAAGTTTTTCTATGTTTGGTATGTCTTACTACTATACTCAGGACGCAGCTACGCAGCACAACGTCATCCGCAAACAAACCAAGTCAGCTGCTTCACAGCAACTGGCAGCCGCAGTCGCGGCAGTTCAGCCAGGATCGGGATCGTGGCACGCCACTTCGCACGGGTCCGCCGCCCACAACAAAGCGGAGTGTGGCCAATGTCAATAGGAACAGCATGACGCCGTTGCGACATCGGCAGGCATCTTCGGTGGAGCGGCCTGTGGTGCTGCACACGGATAAGAAGTGGGTGCAGGAGCAGTCGCAGCTCATAGCTGAATATCTGGATGAAATGTCACAAATTCATGCTCTGCAAGGCTTTCCCAACGAGTTCTTCAGCCGAGGTGGTTCGGCACTTCGCCAAATGACGATGAAACAATTTGTGGGCATTGTAAACTTTTTCCTGCAATTTATTTGGCGCAATCGCATCAGCGTGGGCACCAATCATGTTGAGGATATAACGAAAGCCTTGCATAAGCTCAATTATCCGTATCAGGTGAACAAGTCCTGGCTAATGACACCCACCACACAACACTCGTTTGGCCATGTCGTCGTTATGCTTGACTTCCTCAAGGACTTTGCGCCGCCGTCGCCCGCTCAGCAGCAGGCATCTGGCCAATACGAGGAGTTTCCCTTTATGGAGACAAGTGAACAGCCGAGCTATGTGCAGAATACCCTCGACTCCATGGCCCTATCTGACACACAGGCAAGCAGCGTGATGCTTAACGAGGAGACGATTCAGTTGCTGTTCACCAGAGCGGCGGACTGCTTTGCTGTGTGGGATAAGCAAAAGCTGGAAGAGTATGCGGTGCTTAAGCGCGAGAGCAGCGATCGCATCATAAAAAGCCTTTGTGACTTGCCTGACACGGCATCTCTGGACGCGGACGTCGCACGTCAGCAAAAGGAGTTGCAGCAGCTGGAGGATCAGCTGCAGCTGCATACCAACAACAATCACGAGCAGCTGGAACAGTTAAGTGCCCAGGATCAGCGTCTGGCGTTTGAGCTGCTGACCATGCAAAACAATACGAAGGAATATCGTGACCAGATTGAACAGCTATGTGCGCGTAGTGCCCAAAATGCCGACAGAATGTTGGTTCTGCGCAAGGAGCGGCAGCAACTGCATCGCGAAGTGCGCGGACAAAAGTGCTCAGCCGAAGATTTCCAGCGCAAGAAGGTGATGTTGAACGATCTGGAGAATGAGGAGCAATTCTATAAGCGGCAAATGCGCGAGTTTACTGAGCGCGGCTACAATCAGCAGGTCCGACTGTCGCGTGCCAAGAAACATTTGCTGGACAAGGTGGAGAAATTTAACACACACGCGCAAAACATTGGTCTTGACTCGGACATATGCAGCGCCAGCGAGAAGGAGAAACTGGAGTTGGTATTGCCGCTGCCACCACAGCATTCCGACATTCAGGCACGCAATCGGCGTCTGACCAAACTGCTCGCATTGCTGGATCAGCGTGGCGCCCAGCACGAGGAGCGGCGTCGGCATCTGGAGCAGCACATAACCGAACTAACGCTTCAAAATAGAAATCTTGACGCCGAATTGAACCAGTTGAATACACAGATTCAGTCATATGAGCAGCAATTGGCGCAACTGCATCAGAACTTTAAGACCAACAGCTCCATGTGGGCACAGCATCAACAGCTATTGGAGGAACGCAGGCTTGCACTCAGCGTAAAGGTCGAGCAACTTCAGCGGGAACATCGCGAACTAACTGAGCTCTTGGAAAACAAAAGGGAACAGAATGAGGAAACCCTCAGCGCTGCTGAACGCCGACAACAGGAGCGTTTGAGCGCCAGATACGATTTTCTAAAGAAATACCAAGAGGCCCTGGCAAATGGCGAGGAGCAGCTCAAAGAATTTAATGAGATTTATACGCAAAACAAGATCAAACTGGTCAATCTCAAAATGGAGCTCGAAGGCATCGGGTTGCCGCCATTTGAAGACGAACTGAATGAGGTCTTTAAAAATGCTAAAATGAATTAATTAACTTATATGTTGTTCAGAATGTTTCATGGTTAAGTTATAAAAACTGAATATGTTGTTGCCAACAGTTATATATTATAAATTATACACACCTTCAAGTTTTTACTATGATGTCTTAGATTTGATCATGGTAATAACGTGATTTATTGAAATGGGTAGTAAAAATATATTTTTGATGAACATCAACTGTTAAATGAATACAGGCATATCCGCCCATCTGTCTCTTTACTCATATTTCATATAGATGCTGTCTGTCTACCCTTTAAAATATGTAGACAATTATAATAATATAGCAAGTTTTATAATTTATTCAATTCAATAACTCTTTAATTTGTATGAGAAAACGTATTAATGAAATAATTATTTCCATTATAAGTATTATTAGATGAATGTTTAAATTATTACATAGAATAATTTGGTAAGTCAATCCCGTAAACGGCTTTCAATAAGATTGTACACACAGGTACAGAAATAGTTGGGCTGAAGAGCTGTTTGCAAGGCCGACTACAAAATACTCTATAAAATATCAATATGAGTGAGAAAGAGAGAGTGGTGCTACAATCGCTTGCTTTGGATTCTCGCCTAGTTATTGCCACGCAGATTAAACATTTGGATTATATTGTTATAAATTGCACTTGGTACGGTTTGGGTTTTGCTTTACATTGTACTGTTTACATATACGAGAACGCGTGGGGTTGGGCCTTTCGGGGAGTGGGTGAGGCTCATTGGGTGGCTTACATACATACGAATACACATACATAATATAATATATAATTTTTGGCCAATTTGAGTAATGCGAAACGGAACAAAAATGCACTGAAACAACATTTTGTTGTAATAAATAAGTATGTATAGTATAGCTTAGGTAAATTTATACAGAATTTGGTGTGTGAGTGTGTGTGTGTGCTGTTAGTGGTGGTTGTGTCTGTTGCGTTTGTGAGATTGTTGCTCAAACTATGAAAACATCGCCATTGTTGCGTTCCACAGCAGAAGCTGTGCCACTTGAGATAGCTAGATCACCGCCACAGCCGGCACGAAGTGGCTGAGATTGTGCATGGGTAGTTGCTGGTGTTGTTGTTGTTGTTGTTGCTGCATGTTCTTGACTGACCTTGTCAAGCAGCTCCGCCTCTCTGCCAATCTCGACGATGCCCTGCGACTTTTGCGGTGAGCTATCAGTTGACTCGTGCGCTTCCTCTAGACTCTCCTCACATATTTGGCTAGCCATGTGTATACTGACGCCTGCCACATCCAGCTCGGCCTCGTCCTTGTGATTTTGGAATGTAACAGAGATCTCTTGCGGCTGTTGCGATGCCGCAGCGCCGTCGATACCCTCGTCAATGTGACTCAGAATGTGGCCTTCACTGCTGTCACTGCCAGGACCAGAGCCGGAGGCAGCGCCGCCTGGACTATTAGCGGGCGCAGTCGTTATAGATGACCACCAGCTGGAGAAGGCACCTTTGGCCTGCGAGATGGCACCGCCAACGGCTCGGCTAGTGTTATTGACCGCCTGATTAATCTTTCGCCCGCTTTCGCTGTTCTGCATGGTTCTGAACAGGGAAAAAATACAATATACAAATAGGTTCATCAATTCAATTCTCGCGTTGTACTTACTGTGCCAGCTTCAGCTTCATGTCCGCCACGGACAGGGTGCCTGCAAATG